ATAACTCGACAGATAAAAATATTAGAACTGCTATTCAGAATGGTGATTCGCAGGATGATGTCAAATGGATGGAAACTGTAATAATTTATTTCCTCTTTCTTTAATTACTTTTAATTTTATATTCTTTGCTTTTCTGTGTCTCGGTTTGATCACTTTTCCTTTGTAACATGGGCAGTTATTTTATTTTATCGTCTCTACTTTGAAGTCCGGAAGATCTTCATATTTGCTTGACGTTATTGTGGGGCTTCTTTACCCTGTAATTTCCTTGCAGGTATGTAAAAGACATTCTTCTGGGTATTTGTTTTGGATTTTTTAACTGGGATATGTTCTACTGTCTTACATCAATTTGAGTGGTTTATATTCAACTTAGTGTGTTTTTTCTCTCTCCCAAACATTATAGTCAAAACAACTTTTTTTCAGGCCAAAAAATTTGGTTTTGAATATATTGTTTCAGAATATGGAGATAGAAAAAAAGTTCCTTTACTATTGCTGAAAACAATTATCGTTATGTTAGAGGCGGATTATGGAATTTATCGTTCCTCATTCAGTTGAAAATTCATGGCATTTACAGTATGGCTTACTTTCATTGCATTTTTTTCTTTTTAGATTCTGTTTGAACTTGTATTTCTCTCCAGTTTAGGGGCTCAACATTTTTTACAATGAGTTATTTATTGCAGATAGAAGCCTCTGTTAGTTAAACTGTGGTAATTTAGGTTTATTCGTCATTAAACATTTTAAAGGCTTTGCATCTTGGAATTTGGATGAAAATATCTTGGTTTATGATTTTATTACACTCTTAATCTTGATTGGCTTGTTGATTTGTAATTGGTTGTTAATATGCAACTTCCATTTAACTCGTCCACCATCTGAATTGGGCTGTTTGCTTGAGCCGCCTTCCCCATCCACAAATCTGTTTTACTTGCCATTGCACATTTTGGTGATCACTAGGACACAGCAAATTCGAAGTATGATATGGCATCTCTAATAAGGCCTAGGTCATTGTTTTCTTTCTTCATTTAGCATACATCTGCTCTCAGAATTCTTGGAGCAAATTGACATAGAGCTGCCTCATTGGAACTCTTTATCTCTCTATAAATTTGGCTTTTTGATTAGCTGATCTGCTAATGTCTAATTTTTTGGCCATCTCGACTTTATATCTAAGATATTTGGGCCTTTTGAAGGAAACATCTAACAAGGATTTGTCAACATTAGCAAAGGCAGCGTTTCAATTGCTAAAATGGAGAATCATTTTAGAACCCCATCTCCAGAAGGCTGTTTCTGTTATTCTTTCTTCTGCAAGTGATCCTAACTGGCGAACTAGATCAGCAACTCTAACATATCTGCGAACTTTTATGTTCAGGTGTGTTTCTTCTTTAAGGGGTTGGTAATTTCCTATTTTAGCAAAGCTAGTGGCAGGAGTCACCTCCTGAAAATAGGTTGATAAAATTTCTGTATGTGCCATAATCACCGTTGTGCTTTATGAAAGGCATACTTTCATTCTCTCAAAAGGCGACAAACAAAAAATCTGGAAAACAGTGGAGAGGCTCCTTCAAGACAGTCAAGTGGAGGTTGTATTCTTGTTTTTTGTCTATATCTTATATGACAGTTAATATTAAACTTTATAATGTGGGACATTTTATTGATAAAGAAAAGGAACTCTCGGAAGTTATCAATTGAGTTATGGTCTCTGAATGAAGTACAAAATAACAAAATTTGAAGTCATGTGCTTTCACAATAATTGTTTTACAAGGGATTCCCTGATTGGAAATGTCTTTTGCCCCAATTTGAGGATTAAGGTCCTTGGGCAGGAAACATGATATTATTACTTTGAACTAAAATGCTACATTTTCTCAGGTAAGAGAGCATGCTGCTGCGGTGCTAGCTGGTCTAATGAAAGGTGGGGATGAAGATTTAGCTACAGATTTCCGTGAAAGAACTTATGTAGAGGCAAATACCATTCAACGAAGTAGAAAGACAAGGTATTTGTATGTCAATTATTTGGTTTAATGGAAGCTAATTCTTTTAGATGCTATAAATTTAAGTTGTTTTGATGGGGTTAGAGATGATTGCAAGGTTTTATCCTCAAGCATGAGAGAATTCTTAATGCTAATCTTGCTAATGCCCTGATAATTTTAGCTTCTATAACGAATCTCAGTTTACATCTGTCCAAAGGAAAAACTATCAGCATATAAATGATTAGATGCTTGTCCTACATTGCTTCATAAGAATACAACTCTGCACTAATGATCAAATTCTGAGCTTTGAAGTTGCCTGATGAATTTATAAGATTTATGTATTGACTGGGTTTTGGAATTCTCTCCGACATCATTGTACTTAGTGATATTTGGTTGTCATCCCATTTATGCTTACATTAAAGTTATTGTCCTCTTTGGGCATCCAAAAGAGCCCCTCAAGACTGTCACCCAACGGTGCACCGAGTGGCAATTGGTACCGTGTAGGACTCAAAAAGGAAGTGGTCCTTGGTACACTATTAAGTGAGTATGCCTTGAGGGGCTTGTGGTCTCTGAGTACCCAAAGAGGACAATACCTTTGATGTAGGCGTTCACATGGGCATTGACTGAATTCTGGTACACATGTTTAGTGGTGCCACCGAGATGTCCAGAATCCAGTCATTTACAATCTGTGCGTGCAACTGCTATAAAACCTATATGGTACCATCTAGATCAGAAAACTTATACAAGCATCTTAATCATAACTTGTAATTAAATAGCTTATTTACAAATAAAATACATCCATTCACATTAACCTCTAAATGAGGTCCTGGTTTCAGTTTGCCGTTGATATCTATCTATGCAAGTCTAATCATAAACTCATGAATGCAGGAATAGAAATTCTGGGCACTCCGTGGCATCTGTTCATGGTGTAGTACTTGCGTTGGCAGCTTCTGTGTTATCAGTACCATATGATATGCCCAGGTCGGTCTATTTTAAACATGATAAATAGTTCGAATGTTAGTAATAATTCAAGAATTAGTAGATCATAAGATGTTTTACTAGGACAAAAATTAAAGCGCTATTTCTAAATCCTTGGGTTTCAGTTAAAAACAGTTTAAAGCACTACAATTACTTCATTTGTTTTCACTATGACTGTTCCAGGGGCAATTTTTAAACTTAGAATCCTAAGAAATATGATTTGGTCAATGCAAAAAATACATTTTAGTTTTAGAAATTTCCATTTAATTGCTTAATATTTGAAAATATTATTTTTACCAGGAAGTAATAGTATTTCAGAATCATCCATATATTAGCTTTCCCTCATATAATACTCTTCAAAGCATGAACGAAGTTGTTGCAGAAGCGGAAAAATGTTTTTTTTAAGAACAAATGAAGAAAATGTTGGGAGAATCTGGATCTCAAAAGTGTAAAAATCTAAGGCTGATAAATTCATCTTTCTTGGGTACATAAAATACTGCAGAAACCTTCTGAAGTTAAATTATTAGGCACCTAGTTTGTTTATATTAAGAGAGGTAGGTGGATATATTGATATGCATTTTAAATTTTTAATATGACTTGTTCAGTTTGTAAAATATGGAATTATGGGTCTAAAGCGGGACCCTAGGAATCTTGGTGACCGAGGAAAATGAGATTCTTTCAGGCTTGTTAATTTTCAAGCTATGTTATTGATGTACAAGTTCTTTTTGCAGTTGGTTACCTGATCACGTCACATTATTGGCTCACTTCGGTGGGGAGCCATCGCCTGTAAAATCAACAGTGACGAAAGCAGTTGCAGAGTTTCGGCGTACACATGCAGATACATGGAATGTTCAAAAGGATTCATTTACTGAAGAGCAACTTGAGGTATCTTCATAAAGCTACGAATGATAAAGGATTTTTGATTAAGCTGAAAAATATGATGCTTAGCTATTGTTTTACTATTCTCTGTTATGTTTACAGGTCCTAGCAGATACATCGTCTTCATCATCATATTTTGCTTGATCTAGATAGCTTTCCTTGACCAAGAGAGGCAGAAGATTTAGCAGAAAACAATGATCGAGAAAAATAGTGACAGGTTTTATCGTTTTCTTGTAAGCTTCATCATAGTTGAACCGTAGAAAGTTTTATTTGCGTTGCCAAATATAACCTTTTGTCTCTCACTTGAAGTTTATTGTTGGCCATGTAATAGAATTTTTTGCCTACATTTTTATTCTTTGTTGTTGAAGGCTTCTCTATAAATGGGATTGATGAGATCATCAGATGGTCCCCTCGGCATCCAAGAACTGGCTGTGCTTAAGGTCGGGCGGGCTGAAGGTAATTAGTCAATCGCAAGCGGCAGCTTTTCCCACATCTTCGGAGACCTGGAAAACGAACCCCATTACTTTGAAAACAAAAAGTGAAACACGTATGAACCCAAGTGCATTGTGTTTGCCCGGTAAGAAAAGACGGACCGGCACTCTTGGGGCTGAGACGCCAACTGCAGGTGCCGTGTCAGGCGACGTAGGTGGATAACTTCTTGTCTTCCTCGGGTGTCCACTGCCCTCCTTCAACAATGCCCTTCTCACAACATGCAATCCGACCCATCTTTATTTTAATTATCCATAAATAAAAGCAAAGAATAAGGTTAAAGAGTGGGCAGCCCTACTTATCCTTAGACATCTGGTGCATATTTTTATGTGGTGTTCATGTTTCGAGTACTTAGGGTTTTAGTTCAAATATTAGTGTTATTCTATGAGACGTTTCACATCTTTTTAAACAAAAACGATCCTATTTCCATAAGCACAGAAAATAATCCATGAAATCTCCAAAAGCTTGAATCTTGATAAGTCACAGAACTATAATTATGAAAATACAAAGTTTAATCCTGGATGAAGATGAGCATTTAATTTGGCTATGGGTAAAAAAAACGGAGTATCTGCCTGTCAACAAAAATATTTACACCACCATGCTATGCTTTTGTAGGACAAACTCGTTTCGAATCTCCATGGTCTCAGCCTCTGCAACTTTCAAGTTTCCAAATATGATCCCCGTAGTTCATCTCCTTCACTCGTCATGTTTTCGGTATCTTGTTTTGACCTGCAATATCCAACCAGTTACATACAGCACGCAGCTGTTACTAAAACAACGAGAACCACGAAGGAGAAACCGAAATCAAAAGAAAGAATGATTTGGAGAGGGAATGGATGAATAACTGACCAGTTGCCGAAGGATCTTCATGTACGAAGAAACTCGCAGAGACTATCAGATAGCAAAGTATAAGCATTAGTCCTTTGAAGTAGTTGGATGTTCCCTCCTGCACGCCAATAAAAGAGAGACAAAGTTAACTTCACGATGTCCATTACTCGAACTCGGGTATAAAGTTCTTGATATGCCAACCTGCAGAAAAAAAGCTACAACTATAACAGTAATGAAGAGAGTTGCTGTCTCAAAAAGCTGGAAGTTCAAGTCCATTTCCCGTCCCATCATCCAACCAATAACAACACAAAAAGGTATCTGCAAATTCAAAAATAATACGGGCTTAAAGGACCAAGGCAAAAGAAATAGCATATTAGCAACACTAACATATAGAAACCGGTCTCAGCTTCGCTCCAAAGTTGTTTTAATACCATTACAAGTAATGTAAAACCACTAAATCATGTCTTGGTGTTCCGGAAACCAAAGAATAAACCAAAAGTAAAACCAGTAAATCCCAACATTCGGATGCATGACATAATGGAGTGACATCAATAGAAACCGGGTGGATCCAATGTACAATACATACCCCAAACATAGAAATCTGAGTTGATGACCCTATCGCCACTCCCAAGGATATGTCCTGAAGATGGTTTATCAATTAGCAAAAATGCAAATGAATATAAAAATGGAAGTTAACAGAATTACTTACAAGCTTGTCTTTCATGGCAAACATGATAGAGCTTGCGTGCTCAGCAGCATTCCCGATTATGGGGAGCAAGATAACACTAATAAATGCGATTGGCACATTCCATGCATCAGATGCCCCCTAAGAAACAACCACCAGACAACAGAAAGATCATAGAAACCTAATCAGCATATTCTCTCAAGAAAGTTGTTTTTAAAAACAAAAGGCAGATCAATTTTAAAAGCCAACTAAGTGCTGATTAATACCCTCCAACTGGTAAAAAGAGAGCAAATGAGGACCTCTAACCAACTTTCAAATGATTTTGTAAGTGATTCATGCTCAGACTGGCTTGAGTAGACATGACACTAGAGGATGCATATGATAAAACCAGTATTTTACGATTCATTTAACAACTTGATTCTTTGAGTGACCAATGACCTCAAATGTTTCAACACATCCATCTTGTTAACCAAGAAAGAGGGAAGCTTAAAAACAAATGTTACCTCTATGGTATCCACCAAATAGTCCGACAGGATGGAAATCCAAGCAGTCATGATAGCAAGCCAAATTATTGATTCCCATTTGGAAATTTCTGGAGCTTCATCACCATCTTCTACCTCCCCATTGTGGCTTTCTTCCTGATATTAACACCATTTGCCACAACACTAAGTATTCTACACAAAATACTTGAGACAAAATAACAAGACAAAATAGCCAACCTCGACAACAGGGACATAGTTATCATCTTGACTCTTTAACTGGAAAACAAGATAGGCAGCATAAGCTAGAAGCATAACACAACTGCTAAATCTCGAAAGAGCCAACTCCGACTTCCCAACTTGCCGTTCAGTGTGTGTGTAGTGGAGGACTGCTGGAAAGAGTAGACCCATGACTGCCATCAGCAGCAGTCCTGAATTGACAACAGCTGTGGCCTGAAGGTAAGTTTACTTCAGTTTAGAGGGATCGAATAAGGGGAAATAGAAGAAATGCGATCAGACAACATACTAATACTTTTACCTTGCTGAAGACTTGTTCCTTCCCATAATGTACAAGCCCACCACAAAAGAATGCACATCCAAGAACAAGTAGCATATTTGACAAAATTGAGCCCAACAATGATAACTGAACAACTCGCGTCATTCCGCTTTTCAGTGCATAAATTGAAATAATCAATTCGGTTGCATTCCCAAACGTAGCATTCAGAAGACCACCAACTGTAATTCGTTTCAACAGATGAAAGATCATTACTAACATGAAATTTAAAATTAAAAAGAGGGGTTTTAAAAGGAACCTTGGCAAGCAATTTAAAACCAACAAACTAGTTGCTTGCTCAAGAAAAAGAAAATCCGTAAGAACTAAGAATAAAGAATAGAAAAAAAAACCTGTAGGTCCAGTGTAAAAAGCCAGCTGCCTAAATTCAATCAAATGAAAAAAACCAATGTTAGGAACAACTAATAGCACCAAAATACCAAATTGAAAGAAGAACATGAATCCTTACTCAGTAGCATAACCCAAACGCTCCGCCAAAGGTGTTATACCTAGTAAGCTTAGAAAGAAGACCCAACCCTGCAATCCACCTTGTCATTTAAACAACTTATACAAAAAGGAAAACCAAGCAAAAAAAAAGAGCATCAAAACTAAAAACTCACATTACTAGAACTCATTTTATGAACCATGATTGCTAGAGGCCCGAAAGGCATGAGCAAGTTGAGTTTATTTGAGAAAACTACGGTCTTTATGCTCTTATAAACACCATTCCTTGTCATTTTATAGCCACCAACAGGCAAAACAGAGAACGGAAAACGTTGGTTTGAAAGAATAGGTTGTGTCTTTTGAGCATCCATTTCAGTGGAAAAGAGGCAGTCATCATCGAGATCATGCATTGCCCCATCTAATGGTCCCATCTGCAACAACATGCACTGAAACATTAGAAATGCAGGCTCTAAATACACTAAAAGAGAATTAGCAAATAAAAATGCATATCAATCAACAAAAGGAATGGTTGAAGAACAAAGAACGATAAAACATTAAAATATGAATAATAACGTACTTCAACATGAGATTGAACTCCGATTTGCCCCTTGTAATCCATCTTCATCTATCAAAAGAGATATAAGTTCTCCACAGCCACTAACATAAAGGCATCAAAAATCATGCGCTTGGTTTTAGATTGAAAAAAAAAACTTTAGCAAGCATGCTTATCACATATAGAAATTGAAGCAAAGCCAAAGAATCCCAAATCAAGATCCATCTTTCAATTTCTCATACTATCAATCATCAAGTCAATCCCAGGAAACAGTAAAGTATTCAATCCCAAGCAATCAAAAGCATAGAATAATAAAAACACAGAGAGAAAAGGGCATGGATTGCATAAAACACAACGCCTGATGCTAAAGAAACAACCCCAAAAATAGAAAAAAGCCATCAAACATAATATAGATCTGAGAAAATAACAAACCTTTACTGCAACTGTTTGAAAAACATGAATAAAAAATCCCAGAAAATTAAACAAAAGAAAGTTGATACTTTTCTTCGCCGAAGAAAAAAAAAGGGATTTCTTTTTCTTGCCAAGAGGACATCAAATAAATAAAAGCAGATCGTTAATTTCAAAAGCGTTGGAGGGTGAGGGGATATTTATGAATTATGATAATTGCTAAATTCTCTGACTCTCCGTTTTCTTCGTGTAATTTGAACTGCTTGTCTTTGTCTCCTCCTTTTGTAATTCTTGCCATTTGTTTCCCTAAATAATTTTAATTATGTTCTTAGTTTTCTACTATACTGATGTTCGGATTAATTCGAGTCGTATATTTAATTTTGATCAATGAATTCAATAGAAATTGTCTGTATACATAAAGATTCAAACTTTAAACATACTTAAATGATATCAAATTGCTTATCACTTGAATCAACGGTTAATATTTTATCCATTTACTTCGGTTTACAATAAATTGATTTTCTATAATGATACAATAAGTCTAATTTCACTGCTCGTTACTGTTGAAAAATCTAATACTTTTTTAAATAATTTCAAATTAATATTTAAGTTTATTATTAATTAAATATAAGTAATTAAATTTTAATTTGATAAAAAAATCACATCATTTAAAGTGTATTTGGACATCACAATATAGTTGCATGATAATCAACTAGTTGGTCTAAGTGGAAAGTAACTTGATTTCGCTTAAGCATGTTTCGAGTTCAAGTTCTTGTGCATGTAGAAAATCATCGCTGAGAGATTCACTCACCAAAACTATATATACGGCCTGAGTTTATTCGGATTAGTCAAAACGAAACCTTGAGAACCGGAAATATAACAAAAAAAAATATAGTTGCGTGATAATAGAATCAATATCATAGTAATTACATTCATGTGTAATTATAAGAATGTATCATTCTTTTCATGCGGTTTTCTAAATACACCCTTAATGAAAACAATTAACCGCGTTATTAATTTAGGCATACATTTAACATCATAAAAGTAGAGGATCCAATTATGTCAAAATAGAGTAAAAGGATCGAATTTCAAAATTCTAACTTAGGAGAAGGACTAGACTCGGAATTAAACCTATAAATTAATAAGGTGAGAAAAGGGGTTGAATAAAAGGGTTGAAGGTGGAGCATTAAAATAGAGGGAAAAAAATAGAGTTTCATGTACTTTTTGAAGAAAAATCAATGTGGTTTTTATATTATTTAGTTCTTTTAATTTAATTTTTTAACTCAAAAAATAAAATTAATATGATTATTTGATCAATATTTTTCTTTCGTTAATTGTTATGGTGTTGACGTGACAGTTCACGGTGTTGATATTACGATCCATAATAATAACATGACAATACCAATTTAAATGAAATATCATGTTATCCACCATGTTATCAATCACTATGGACTGTCACGTCAACATCGTAGATCATCAAGTCATTACAGTGAACTGTCACATTAATACCGTAATGATTAACGACGAAAAATATTAGTCAACGAGACCACATTAAGTTTATTTTTCAAGTTAGAGAGTCGCAATGAGAGAAAAAATAATATAAGTGTCATATTGTTTTTTTTTATTAATACAGGGAACTATGATAATTTTTCACCTAAAATAAATAAATAATTTAAGGTTAGGAGAAGAGATGTGAGAATGCATGTGAATGGATCCCATTTTGTAGTTTAATTAAAATAAAAGAGGTGCAGTCCATAGATTTGATTGGATTGGCTAAGCTTCCAGGAAGCTTCCTTTGATTAATTAAATTAAAATTATTTGATTTCAGAGATTCAGATCCATTCGCTTCTTCGTGGAGGCCACCCCCTCCATAATTTCTGAATGTTTATTTAAGCCTTAACATAATTTTGAGTCCCTAAATTATATCTCAAAATGATTTTTAATGTCTAAAGATTTTTTTATTAATTATATATATTTTTATTTTTTAATAATAAAAATATAATTAAAAAAATTTCGAAGAAACCAAACCCCTTGCGTCTTCCATCTCTCTCTTATCTCCCACCTCTGACGATGGCGAAAAGTCATAAACGACTGGATTTTCTTGGGAGCATATCGAGAAACTTAATGGTGGTGACCATTTAATGTACGACCAACTGTTTCATATTTTTTTTTTAGAAAATCAATGATCTTTTGTGGCGTTTTTCACGACAATCGACATAGTTTCATGGTGGGTGGAGACTTGATGTTGGTCGCGACGGCGAAATAGTTCTGATGGTGTCAACGGTGACTGTCACGAATTAACAGTGGTCAATCGACGGTGAAATTTTGGTTTTTTTTGTTTTTTAAATTGCATTATTAAATGCCTTTTAATTTTTTTTTTAAAATTTTATATGTGACATGTGTCAGATAACAATTAAATTTAACGGCCATTACGATCTAGGTACCTAAAAGTGTAATGTCGGACACCTATTTTTAGAGAAAAAAATCTTTAGGTATCAAAAGTCAAATTGAAGTATAATTTAGGTACCTAAAAGTGCATTAAGCCTTTATTTAAACAAAGCTTTGGGGATTCTTTTAATGACATTTTAACCTTTTTCTTTGTTATATCCAACTGTTTGCAGTTACATGTTCATGGCACTTTCTTCAATTAATCAATTAAAGTACAACAGTAGTACTCACTTCAAAATATTTATTTAAATACCACTTAAATTTATCCCTAGTTAAACAATAATTGTTTTATACCTACCTTAGTCTCTATTCTTTAATAAAAGTTCCGATTTAGCCCTACAACTTCCATTACGTACGGTTATTCGAATGATTTTTTCAGAATTTTTAATATTGTTTTTTTTTGTTTTTTTTTTACTTGTGACCGTCTCATTGGACCACATCATTACCTATTACAAAAAAAAACATTAAGAGGTTACTGGTGCATATAAGATGAAAGTTGAGAGCTAACCTGATCGAAAAATAAAAAGGCCAAAGTAAGAATTTTACTGAAATTAAGGGGCCACTTTAGGTATTAAGCCGTGAATAAAATTTAGATGGTGAAATTCAAGCAATGACTAAACAATTGGGAAGCATTGACTTGTCGTAGAGAATGAATGATTTCGCACCAAAAATGAAGATGAATGTCGTTTTCCATTTATTATGGCTATTAATTATAGTATGAAAAATAAATGAATAAACTCCGAATGGACTCGATTCGGGATAATAGTGTAATTTCTTTAAATAAATTTATGGATGATTGTTATAATATGTTTATATCTATTATTTTTTAAAGGCAAAAGGATAATTTTTATCCCTGTAGTAGACCTAATTTATCACTTCCGCCCCTATCGTATTTTCGCATCAATTTAGCCCTCGAAGTTGCTCAATTGTATCATTCTATATCTACTCATAACTTAAAACCCTAAATTATAAACTATAAATCCTAAACCATAACATCTAAACTATAAACCCTAAATTCTAACTTAAAGTTTATGATTTAGGGGTATGGAATGATACAATTAGACAAGATTGATGACTAAATTGATGCGAAAATACGATAGGGATGAAAATGACAAATTGAGTTTACTACAAGAGCAAATGTGACCCTTAAGCATTTTTTTAATATTAAATCATTATTTTATATCGAATTGGGTTTGATCGAATTAGAATTATACTCTAAAAGTTCTGATCGGGTCAGAATCATATGAAGGAATTAGACTCGAAACTCGAAGGTTAAGGATCTCAGTATTCATACTTTAATATAAATAAGTTTTCCCCTTAAATACTTGTAGACACCTAATTTCGCCCTCATATTATTACGATCATACTACTATAATATATTTATATATTGATTTTATCTCATTATAATTATATTATATGGTATGTATAACACATGTTTTGTAACAGGTCCCATATTACAACAAGTGCTAAGCCCAATACACAACAAGCCTGTTTACAAAAGAGGTAGCCCAACGGTTCAGGGCCTGAACCAACCTCCAAGCCCGGATTAGCTAGGGTTTTCGAACCCTAGCTCGCCCATCTTGTTCCAGCAGTCATCACCAGCGCCGCAGGGAACCTCCCATGAACGAGTTTCACGGCCGCACGTCTCATCACCAGCAACCCCGTAACATCCGGCGCATGAAGCAAGGACAACCACAAGCATTAGAATCCTAGTTCAAATAGGATGCTAAAAATAGGTTTTTTTTCAGATTATAAATAACCCATGTAATCAAACAAGGGGAGGGATCATCGGAGAACCCAGAACCGAGGGAGAACCCACGAGGCATCACAACCAAAAACTGAGAACACAGTGAAATAGACCACCACGGTCGAACAAACCGAGCCATCACAAAGCCGTCAACAGAGAAAACAAATAGTAAGCCAAACACCACAAACAAGATAGCCAAACACACCAACAACCGAACAGAGAACCCAAAGAAAATCAATAAACAGTAAATCATTGAACACAACAAGCCAAAACCAAAAGCAGAGCAAAAGAAAAAACATCGGAGCACGTATCAAAGAGGCCATCGGAAAAGCGAGAAGTCACCGGAAAGGTAAAACCCGAAAGGGTTTTCTTTAGATCTACTCCGACAAGGGGGTTGTTTGGGTATTTGAGTGTTGATTTTGGGTTCACGGGGACGTGAGGTTTATTTTGGTGGGGGTTCGGGTTTTCATAGGCCGCCGGCAGTGGCGGCCGGCGCGGTGGCCTGAGTGGCGGAGGAGACACAAGGCGGCGACCGGAAATCGCCTAGGGAGAGTTCTGGGAGAGTTGAGAGCTTTCTCTCGGCTGAGGGAGAAAGAATTTGAGAGTAAATGAAGATTATGAAACGAAATTCAGCTGGTTTGTATATATATATAGCAGGGACCATTATGCAAATAGAAGATTCTTTAATTCTCTCCGCAGTCCCTGGTAGTTTAAATCGCATTTCAATCTGGCCATCACTTGTAATTTCGTCTCTGGATTCTCAATTCATTCAAATTGGTCACCTTTTACATTTTTATATATTTTGTGAATTAACCCTCTAATTTTGTTTTTTTTACAGTTTGGTTTTAGTATCACTTTCAGTGCGCAAGGTCCAATTTAATTCATTCTGATCCTTTTATTTATTTACCTTATTTTGTTTTTCTAACATTTTCTAATTCCAAACTTTAACCTTTTTTATTTATTTTTATTGTTTTATTTTATTATTGTTATTTCTTTCCCATATTACACTTTTCACTTTTTCCTCTTATTTTGTTTACTTTTAAACGTTAACGTTTTTTATATTCGTTCTAATTATTACTTTAATATTATTTTTATTTTC